AAATAATTATAGAAATTCGAAGCACGTAGCACATTTATATTTTTATTTATTTATATGCATAAATTTTTATGCTCGGATGTTTATACGTATAGAATTTTATGATCAGATTACGTCATGCTGCAGTAGTATGAATCAATGATATTTCTCAACGGTATTATACCTTACAATGTTCCATCACAAAAAATTGTTTCTAGAATAAATTTTGCTTCCCATTTATCAGACATTCTGTTCTATTAGATTTGATTAAAAAATTCTTGTTTCTTCTTTTTTAGAGATCATATAATACATTTCACATATTTTGCGTCGTAATGAACGACGTAATGAACAGTAGCCTTAACGCAACACTATTGATCCGTCTCACTTAATAGGAATTTAAATTCAAACTTGAATTATGTAAGTAAATCTCCGTTATTTTTTTAATACATTTTAAAAATAACTGCTGCTGAATGTTTACAAGTGTTATTAATATTATATTTATACAAAAAAGTATTATCAAATCAAATCAATCAAAAAAATAACAAAAAATTTTTTTTAGTTACTAAAAATATCTTAAATAATTTAATAATAAAGAGATATAAAATAAAATCTCTCTTTTGTGAGATTTATGATCGGATTACGTCATGTTGCAGTAGTACAAATCAATGATATTCTCAATGGTATTATATCTCATATAATGTTTTTATTATAAAAAATTATTTTCAATATGTTTTCAACTGTTTTTTAACGAAAAACTTGAACACGAGAATAGTTTCCATTACAAAAAATTTATTTTCTATGATTAATTTTTTCCTCTTTATGTCCTTTCTTTTAATTATAATTATGTATATCGTGTATTATTACATCATATACGTATACACTTATAGCTTCCATGTATTTTATTATTAATGGATGTTTTTCCAATTTAGATTTTATTTAATTTCATTTCTACATAAGTATAGCAATCAAGAAGGTTTTCTCATCTCCGAACTGACTGAAACTAATATTCATTCAAATTAGAAATTCAAATAATTATAGTAATTATTCTCATTACTTTAGATAGCAAGTTCGCATATTCGTTATCAAGCGTTCTCCATCTCGAACATTGCGCTAAATTCGCGCCCTTATTGCTACGTGCGCGATCGGACGCGGGGGTCGCGGATAACCGTCGCGATGCTCGAGGACGCAGGCGTCATCGTGGCCGGTTTAGTTCCTGCGGAATAACACGGGGTGCACGGCAGTCGATAGGCTGAAAAACAGAAAACTAGCCCTTGTTGTAAGACACCCCTCGGCTAAGGACGAGCGTGTGTACATTTGTCGCGGCTCCGCTTCGTGCGCGAGGTGTTCCTGTCTTTATAGAATACGCAAGAATAATCGCATTAGAATACGTCTTAGATTGAGACGAAGACATCGAAAATATTCGTTGAACTCAGGAACAAGTGTTTATTTCGCCATCCTGAGGATCGACGATCGAATTCAAGCGAGGAAGGATCGCTGTTGAGAAAAGGATCTTCTGCGATCGAACGATACGCTTAATTCCTCATGTTTTAATTGAAGGTGGACGTAATAAATCCTTTTGCCTGTCTCACTTCCTTCTTTGTCTGTTTACTTGCATCGAAGGATCGATCCTGAGGCGATCAAATGAACCACGGGCTCGGTGGCGAGTCATGCTGTCAGGAAGGTGCACAATTCTTCCTGCGGATGATACCGTCGAGTTTATCCATTAGAGCGATGAAAACACGTTGATCGTGGGTAATGACTTTTCTTTCGATCTGCAGATTTGGATTTATCAACTGTTAGGATTTTCGTGTGTGAACAAAGGCGTTTTCTCCCGATATATATATATATCGCGAACTCATCGTCTTCGCGGAGCGCAAGATCAGGTGTTTCCCGGTGACAGGACACAACCACTTGTGGCGGGGCCCGGCAAACAACATATTCGATATCGGCCCCCATCATCACGCGAACAAATTTGGAAATTGGCCAACGCGTGGCACGCGTCGTCAGGGAGACAGGGATCTAACTCATCCTATCATCGGACGTCCTAAAAAACCTTTTCGTGACCTTCAAAGTGGCACCGGATGTCTACGAACGTCCTTGACACATTATGTCAATCGTTCGATAGTCGCGTGCGCGATTGGTCAGTGTGCCGATTGTGTTTTCTCTGTGTAATGCCAAATTCATTGTGAGTGATGGCGAGGAGGACTCGTCCTGGCGATCGAGGATGTTGCTTTCCTGTCATGACACTGGAGACTCTCACAAAAGTGATCCACAGGTATGACCCAATCGTATGAACTTTCAATGAATTTTCAATATAAAATATTCCATTTTCTCTTTTAATATAATGCAAGAATAATTATCATGAAAATTTTATATTCTGTGTAAATTTTACATTACATCGAATATTTTGTGGAATCCGATATGCATCGAGTGCAAAAAATATTCGTACATTTTTATTTAAAAAAGCTGTAGAAAATAAACATTAAGCAACATTTTACATGAGTACATTCTGTCCTGATATAAACAAAAGAGCTTCATGTATTCCTGATTTTAAAATCTAAATTTCTCGACTCTATAACTTTTTGTGCGTTCAAATAATAATATGATTTTTCATTTCTATTTATTTTTAAAGTAATATGTTTTAATTATTATACATTTTTTTAGGCAAAATAATTTTGAGAACTATGCAATTCATTTTATTTTTTGTTAATCAATTGCTAACTAATATTTAACTAATATTTACTTTTTAAAAATAAAGTTTTATAAAATGTTATGTTCGAATATTTTTAAAATATAGTGTACTTTTTGTACTCATTACATATATTTTACGTAAGAATATTGGATTGATAATATTTTTTCGAATAAATATTATATTATTCTTCGAATAATTCGTTATATATATATAT